ATTTAAGCGAATCTAATTAAGCCAAAATATATTTGAGTTACTGGTGTCGTGGGTATACAATTACCAGCTCAAAAACTCTTAGTTTCAGCATCGATCTCTTAAAAATCGACTGTTATTTCCTGCACTCCCTCAAATTTCTTCCTGCACCCTATTATTCTGGATTTTATTTTCCCCAAAGATTTTTTCAGAAGAGACTTACTCAATTTTTCGGAAAACAGTCACCTATTTCTATTCATAATGAAAATTGATCATTTAACATTTAACGCATCGGTTTTTGCTATCTCGACGTGATTCTAAACAGCCAAAATCACAATCATTATACCACACGATCCCTCAAACCCAGCCCACAATCTTAGGATTAAAATGTTAGTCGTATTAGCCTTGCATTTTCTCTCCAAACATAAGCACATCAAAACTACATTATAGCGAAAGTATTACCCAGAAGTCCTTTTGATTAGTTTCATGCAAGAGTAAGCATAACCAAGTTGACAGGAGGTTGATTTGAACATTTTTCAGATTTTGAAATTTCAAAATTAAAACATCTTTTGGAATGGATTTGCATTATGTTTCCAGTTGTTTCTACCTAGTTTGGTGTCTTGCATTCTTCTTACATAGCTTTTAAAACCATGATTTTTTTTTAATAATAACATTTTATTTTGTCCTATTTTTGATACTCATTGGTTATTTTATATATTATAGTTTCAGTACATTCATTTGATCGATTATTAAATAAAAATGTAATTTAGTTATTTTCCCAGGTGACCAATAATCCTCATGTTACCGCGTCCTTGGGTTCTCATCAACGAGGGTGAAGAAATTATGACAAAAGAAACACATCAATTGATCATCCTCTATTAATTGACCAAATTTATCTACCGACCAGTTTCAGGAAAGAAAAAAAAAACTACAGAAAAAGAATTGGGACCAAATACTCTTTCCCAAAATATATCACCACAATAATTACAAAATCCTATCAGATCAAAGGATTCAAAGAATACAGCCTTAATTCAATGACACTTATGTTTCATTGTATGTAACTTCCTTTGCTTTTAAAAAACTAATTCAATGACATCTATTTCAAGCAGCTAGTTCACACTTACATTTAAAAGAAAATTTATTTACTCACTCCTCACTTACATTTATACATGGTTACATTGCAGTTTCTTTCAAATGACTCAAATTGAGCGACACTATCCCATTACCTTTCCTGGCTACAATCAAACTCCATTAATATGTACAGATTTTCATTTCAAATGTGAGAAAAGGTACTCACCATTATTATTACCAGTTTGGTAATTAGCATATTCACTTGAAGTAGAATGCAGACTAGGTAGCCAAAGAACATTCTATTCTTTGTTAAAAAGAAAAGAAAAACTTTATAAAATATATTAAGTCTTGATATTTCCATTATTCTATCTGATTTAGGCTAATCTATCAAACTGGTCCGTTTCTGGGACACGTACTTCCACACTTACCCTTCAACCTACATCGTACCAATCTAGCAACAGCGTCAACTTTCTTAACAACTAGAGGAAATATCTCAGCTGCCTCGTCTAAAAACTGAGCTTCTGCTTCAGTTGCAACCTCTTCGCTGTAAAACTTTTCTAATTCTGAAAATAATCGCAGCGCATTCTCAGCTGCGACCTCCAATTTACCAAGTGCATCCTTGCACACAGTTATGGTTTCTCCCTGTTCACTCCCTTTATCAACTGAATTTTCATTAACTGGGAGTCTGACTAGTTCACATGTTGATTCTGTTGAAGGTTCTGAATTCTTCATATCCTACCATAGGCATTTTGAGCATCAAACATTTCAGCAAATTCATAGTGATACTTTCATAGAAAAATCAGACTTTTCAAATTCCATTATGAAATATAAAACCAGAAAAGATCACTTGCGGGATCGGTGTGCATATACTTGAGAATTAAACTGTAAAATAATTCTAGAGAGTTTGATTGAACCTCTCATAATCTTCTATTTATAAAAATAAATTGATATAAAAGTATATGATAAATAGAGTAACCTTAAACACAATATAATCATTATAAATAAGATAACCCTAGACACAATATAATCATAATAAATAAATAACCCTTAACACAATATAATCATGATAAATAGGGTAACACAATATAATGATGATAAAATAGGATAAATATCCTAACACATGATATATTAAGGAAACAGATTTATGGTTCTAGTGCTAATGTTAGTATTAAGGAAACAGATGTGAACCCAGCAATGCTTAATAAAACATACCCCCAAGGGATAATTGAAAGCAAACTAACCTTCCGTTTACTGTCAATCTTAATATTCTTCAAAGAAATTTTTAACATGTCCCTATTACTAAAGGAATGACATGATTTTATAGTAAGCCAGTATAAAGCCCCCATACATACCTGTCCCGAAGAATGTCTCATTTTCTCAATTTCCTTCTCCTGTAAGGATCCGTCTTCTGATATAATATGAGTAGCAGTTTCATCCTTAGAGTTCTTTCTAACACTTGTATTCTCTACAGGACTGCTAAACCGTTCTTTAAAATCCCCTGGGTAATCCCATTGCACAATATATCTAGCAGAAAACTTTCTAACTAAAGACTTCCTTGACTCTGCCTGCACAGATAGCAAACTGGGTAATAGTAAGGAAATGAAGTTGCAGACTCAAAAAAAATCTAAACAACTATCATCGAAATCAATTATAAGATATTTAAGTCCTTAAGTTTTGGAGCAATTCCACCACATCTGGGTAAACTTAATTTCCATAAATTGCACATTTTCTCTGGAAGACTTGGTAACTATCTATATCTTTTTCATTTAGGAATAGCACGATTTATTAGAAGAAAAAAATAAATATCAACGTTCATTATCCACTAAACATTTATAATGATTTTCTCGATAATATAATGAATGACATGTTAATAACTGAAGTATTCATCCCATCCATTGGTTGAGGACATCAAGACACTATTATAGAGTACATTTTCACTATTATATTATGAGCAAGCTTACAGTGGATTTCCCGACAAAAGTAGGACAAGAAATCATGAGATTAATTCAAGGTTGAAGAAACTAAGACTTGTTTGTTTTTTAATTCCTTCTCTACACTTCAGAATACAACACCAACCTTGCGCGTATTTGATAAGCTACCAAAATGTTGCTTAAACATGTGACTGTCTTCTTCATATGATACACTGCCCAAATTGCTTTCAGTAGATTCAGTCAAATACAACTGCTCTGCTTTACTCTCAGAAAGTTCTTCAGAACACCAAGAAACATCATTATTATTGCAACCAACATGTTGGTATGAAGCAACACCCATCTTTTCATTCTTACTAAGGTTACTATGCCCAAAGGAGTTCTGGTCCTCACTAATCATATCCCTATGTTTTCCTGCAACAAACCATTATTCATAAGGATAAAGCATAATGTCATGGGTTTGTTTTATTGAACGGGTTTTAAATATTGAGGAAGGATTTGAGCGAAGAGACATTGAATGATATTCTACTTATCTTGCTAAGATGAATTACAAAGGGATGTTAAGATCATAAAACTCATAGCTCTAACCTTTATTTATACTAATCATATCCTAAACAAATCACTAGTATCAGAAAAATAAAAAAATAGAAACACTTGTACTAACAAAATCTCTAAGATACCCAATTAAACTTCAAAGGTATTTGGTTGACAGAATTAGTCTTCTAAGCTATCATAATAAAGATGAAAATTGAGAAGAAAAAGAAATTATGTGGGAACAAGCTATAAACTTACTTATATTCAAGGGAATCTCTGCAAACTCTGTCTTACACAAATCAAACATCTCAGGGGAAGAAAGCGCTTCCGTAAAAACAGTGTAAACAGAGTGCCAATGGTTGTCTAACGGAACGTTGCTGAAATTGTAGTGACTTCATGAGCAAACAGATATCCCATCACCAAAAGTCCATGATTGAGATTTGAGACTCAACACTTACCTATAAGTTCTTCCATTAACAGTATCAGGCGATGGAGAAGCCTTATCGGATGGAATTCGAACTTCGGTGGTCAAAGGAGAAAAAACCTAATCATCATAAATTCAAGAGATATTAGACACTTAGTCAAAATCCTAATACTACTGTGTTGTTATTAAGGAGCTAAGAGACTTGTGTGTCATAGCACCTGTAAATTAGACTTTTAATTTTTTTAAACGTTGGCACTCTAACAGGATAAGCTTCAACTAGAGTTGGCTGGGCTCTCATTCGATGCCATCGTGACAACCATAGATTTTCACCCAAAAAAGTTATCCCTAGACGTAGCTTTGGGCTTAATTGTTATACCAAAACAGCAACAATAACTGTCTGGTGCAGATACAGATTACGTAGACACTTCAATTACCAGATATGGATTGACAGTGACTCAATTTCCTCTCCAACAAATGACTAGGCGGACAACTAGCTTAGCCCAATTTCATTACAAGGAATTACTTCTCTTGCACATTCCAAAACTAAATGTCCACTAAAACACCAGCTTCAACCAAAAATGATTAACTTGCAACAGATATAGTTTATGTAAGTACAGATCTTCAAATTCCAAAGAGGTTTACAATAAGATATACATAAGCTTCTGAATCTTCAAAAATACTACTGTGGTAGGGGCGCTCAGCATATATATATATATATATGTGTGTGTGTGTGTATATAGATATATATATTTATATATACATATATATATATATATGTATATATAAATATATATATATATCTATATATATTGAAGAGTACACATACCTCTGACGAAGTGCAATTTAGATTCTTGCAGACACCATTTGAACCGGTCACTTTTGCTTGTGCCCATTTGGGAAGTCTTGAAACACTAAATTTAAAAGCTGAAGCCTCTCTCTGACTGATCCCAGGATAAAGCATTCCATTCAAATGTTGGCTGTTGTTCATCATTGACCAAACACCATCAGGATTGATATTGGAATGCTGGAATTCTTCTTTGCAAAATGATAGACAACCAAGGTAGGGAGGCTGACTAGAGCTTCTTGGAGACAATGGATTGTTTCTTTCCATTACTCTCTCCAATATTCTAGAAGACAATGAAGCAGGCAATTTCCACACAAAAACACAACCCGTACCATCCACCTGAATAATGATAGGTTGATTAACAAAATCGCTGATCACAAAGGCAGGACATCAATATCTTAATTTTTTCCAACATGATGCATAACTAACCACCAAAAAATAAATAATCAAATGAATTATAAAGCATTCATGTTAAATTGCCTATTGTTAACTCAAAGAAATGAAGAAGAAATCGACAGTGGGTGTTAAGGAAGGTCACCGAAACTATATGCTTGCAATCAGGTAAAAAGATGACACCAGTAACAATTTCAGCATGCCCTGCTGCCTTCGAAGCCATCTTCCCTGTGATCAAGTCATATATGCATTATGGACTTGTTAGAGAATGAGCAGACCACGTAACTGCAGCTTGGGTCCATTATAACCTGTTAACAAAATTAACTTCAGATAAAGAAGGTTAAAATCAGCACTCACTTTCTGATAATGAAGCTCACCTTTATAGGTTCACCAAAATTTTTATCGTGGTTGTGCGACCTAATTAGTTTCTGAGCAGCCATGTCAAACGTCTTTATTTTCTTATCCTATAAGATAATAATATTAGTACTCAAGTGCTGATTCCGCAAATTGAGTGATAATCTTATCAAATTGAGACATGAATATACTAATTGTTAAAGAATTCACGAGGAAGGTCTTCCACAACAGAAGCAACCCTCCCTTGAATTTTGATGATTTTCAATGTTGACATCATCTATCTCACCTGCCCAACAGTGACAACAGTCTCACATGTCGCATCCACAGCCATGTCATAGACAGTTCCACGTTGTAAAGCCTTTTGGCGATGTTGTTGCAAAATCTTATAACCATCATCTGCTATTACCACATCTCGAAGAACCAGGAAACTGTGAAAGAAGGATTATGCTTTTGTTAATCATAGAGGAAACCTTTCAGTGTCATACAAACAATGTTAGGTTCACTGGTTATTGTATATTACAGAGTAATTTAAAAACAGAAATATAACTGCCAAATAGAATAAGTATAAAATCAACAAATGGTAAAACTTAAAAAAAATTAATTATTCTAAAAACTTTGTTGGCGTTTCCATCCAAAGATAAGACTGCCTCAAACGCAGATTATATGGGTCTGTATTACGCATCTACGAAACTACTTCATAGAGAAACTATATTCAAACTACCGAGGAATGAATTGTTTGTCTCAAATGGTCTTTCTTTAAAACAAATTAGATATAGGATAAAAGCAAGCAAGTGATATTTTATATTTCTTTTAACAGCCTGCAATACAAACCTATCATACTTTGTAAAGGGGCTGTCTTTCTCAGATTCATTTTTAAAGGGGCTGGAACAGCTTTCAGATCAACCGAATACTACAATCCTATCATACTTTGTAATTTGCATGCAGAAATAAAGCTAAAAGTTTTATTATTTAAATTATAACAATACGTCACACGCATTATTAATGTAAAATTAATGCAATTTTTTAAACATGGAATGCATTGTGCTAATATATACCAAGTAGACTACGTAGAAACCAATTAAAAGTTTCCTTCACCTGAATTTTCAAGTTCATAGCCAACCAACCTATCAGCCATCTCATAATTGATATTTCAATAAGTAGACAAATAAAGAACTGTAATTTGTTTTGGCTTCTAAGATCGTCTTTACAGTACATTTTGACTCCTTTCCAGTAATACTCGTTAATTGAAAGGCACTGCTAGACACTATTTCCTAATTGCAGGCGTTATTCCCAAGAGAGTGGTAATGCTTAAATTAAATATGTTTAAATTTTTCTTCCCAGATAGAATCAGAACATTAAGGTGAAAATTTTCAGTTTTCCTTTGTTCATCTGTCAAGCAGAACTTACATAGTCCCTCTTTTATTTCATGTTTGTTTGATAGTGATAGGGTAAAAGAAGAAAGTATATGAGAGAAGATGGGCACCAAACAGTGGAAGGCAGGGAGAGGTTGAGTCAAACGGTGGAAGGCGGGGAGAGGTCGAGTCGAACGGTGGAAGGCGGTGAGAGAGAAGAAGAAGGGCATCGAACGGTGGAAGGCGGGGAGAGGTCAAGCCGAACGATGGAAGGAAGTGAGGAATCGAGCCTAACGGCTGAAGGTGGTGAGGGCTCGAGCCGAACGGTGGAAAAAGGTGAAGAACTAGAGCCGATCTATTGAAGAGTTACTATCCTAACCGCTGTAAATAGAGCTATATCCTAGGAAAATATTCAGTATAAGATAATTATAGTAAATAGAGCTATATTCTAGGGAAATATTCAGTATAAGATAATTATAATAAATAGAGCTATATTCTAGGAAAATATTCAGTATAAGATAATTATAGTAAATAGAGCTATATTCTAGGGAAATATTTAATATAAATAAAGCTAGATGCTATTGTTAAGGTTATGTTTTGATTATTGAGTTTGTTGATAGGCGGCTACAGTCCTGTGAGGGAGATTATGCTCCCATCTATCCTTGTTTTGTAAGGGAGGTTATGCTCTCAACTATCCTTTGTTTACAGAATTCTATTACCATTAATAAGAGGAATTCATTCTTTCATTATCTTTTCTGCCTACTGTGATCGTGATTAATTACGTCTCCTACTTGAAAACGTAACAATTGGTCCGACCTGCCGAGATCAACATGGAGGGAACTGGATACTAATTGAGAGGAGTGAAAGACATCATGGAGGGAAGAATGAATGCAGTCAAAGGGAAACTGGAGAACATGGCGCTGAAACTAGAGAACGTGAAGCAGTCCATGGGGAGATTGGAGGCGGCAATCCGCAAAGATTTACAAGAACTAATGAGGATGATGGAAGGGCGAGCCCGACAACTAGATGGGAATTCGGAGGGAAGCCAGGGGTCTGTCAACGGGAGAAGGGGGACCGACGAGAGGAAGAGGAAGGCGAGAGAGAGGGTGTACGCCAGGAGGAGCAACTAAATTGGAGGAAAAAGGTGGAGTTACCCATTTTTTAAGGGATTGATCCGTTGAATTGGATCAATAGAACTGATAATTTTTTTGAACTACAAGGGGTGTTTGAGGAAGAAAAGGTGCGCCTAGCCTACATCAGCATGGAGGGAAGTGCCGGATACTAGTTCAGATTTTGGAGGAAGAAGGTCAAGGACAGTTCGTGGGCGGGTTTAAAGGAGGCGATGGTGATCCAATTGGAGGAAGAAACTGGGGGTCAATCTTCGAAAGACTAGGGCCCAGTAAGCAGTCGGGGACTGCGAAAGAATACGTCCAAGAGTCGAACGTAAGAGGACGGCCGGATCCGAATATGAGAGGATGGCCGGATCCGAATGTGAGAGGACAGCCGGATCCGAATGTGAGAGGATGGCCGGAACCAAACGGGAGAGGACTGCTGGATCCGAACGTGCGAGGACGGCCGGATCCAAACGAGAGAGAACTGCCAGATCCAAACGGAAGAAGACTGCAGGATCCGAACGGGAGAGGACGACCGTAACTGAACCAGAAAGGATTGCTGGAACCGAACGGGAGAGGACAGACGGACTCAAACGGAAGAGGACGATCAGAACCGAACGAGCGAGGAGGGCTGGATCATTAGGAGAGAAGCGTGATGGAAGGAAGAATGAAGGCTTTGGAGGGAAGGGTGGATGGTTGAATCAATGCCCCGGAGAGAAGGATAGATTTTGTGAAGAGGTGGGCCAGCGAACAAAAAAGGGAGCTTACAGTTCTTGATACACCTGCAAAGGGGAGAGAGCTGTTTGAAGTATGGAAAGACATCGAAAACCATTTTCTCAAGGCCTACGATTCTGGAAAAAAAGTGACCAAAATGAAGGAAGAATGGGAGTCATTGGAGGAGGAATTGCCACCACCCAAGCCTCCAGACCTAAATTGGAGGGTTGTAGTCGGTGGGTTCCCTTCATATGATAACACGAGGATGAAGAGGAGCCATGAGATCAAGCTACCCGGTTCCAACCTTGAGTACAAGGTTGTTCTGCAGCGGGGTGTAATGATAGGGTATAAGGTAATAGATGTTGTTAAGGGCTAGAAGGTATACGAGAGAAGAAAGTATATGAGAGAAGAAGGGCACCGAACGATGGAAGGCGGGGAGAGGTAGAGCCGAACGGTGGAAGGCGGTGAGGGAGAGGAAGAAAGGCACCAAACCGTGGAAGGCAGGAGAGGTCAAGCCGAACGATGGAAGGAAGTGAGCAATCGAGCTGAACGGCTGAAGGCAGTGAGGGCTCGAGCCGAACGGTGGAAAGAGGTGAAGAACTGGAGTCGATCGATTGAAGAGTTACTATGTTAGGAATTGGAAAGTTTATGAAAGAAGGAGGAAGAAGAGTACCGAAGTACCAAACGGGAAAGGACCGAGACCGAATGGTATCGAATCTAATACCAAACGGTGGGAGGAAAGAGTGAAGGACCGAACGGTATCTACACTAGTACTGAACGGTGGGAGGAAGGAGTGAACGGTGAGAGGAAGGAGTGAAGGACCAAACGGTATCTACACTAATACTGAACGGTGGGAGATGAATAAAAAGAGCGGGAAAGTTTGTTAGGTTTTTAGGGGGAGAGAGAGAGTATAAATAAACCTTCTTTTATTCTGTTAAGGGCAGCTAGCCATATACTCTTGTGTAAACAGGTCTTGGACCTTGTTGAGGGGGATTAGGCTCCCGTTATTGTATTTTGTTATAGGTTACAGTAAATACATACAATCACAGTGAAATTCATACTATTCCTTTGTTATTTCTTGTTTGATTGCCTTTGTTTGAGTGGGAGTTGTGAGAACGTTAGGCTTCTATCTCAGAAACCTAACAAATTGGTCCGACCTGCCGGATCTCTTTTGCAAGGGAAAGTTGATATGGACGAAAGAAATGAGGGACGCTTGAACATGGTGGAGAATCAGCTAGAAGTGATGGAGATGGCAGTAGACGGATTGAAGGCCAAAACCGCGGCCATCCGCCAAGATCTTCAAGAAATCATGCGTATGTTGGGAGGCCGTAATCGCAATCATGAGGGCGTATCGGATGGTAGTCAAGCATCCGTGAACGCCAACCAGAGGGGGAGGCGAGAGGAGGAGAATGTTGTGCGAGAGACTGAACGATCGGAGGGATAGTTCAACTGGAGAAAAAGGGTGGAGCTTCCTGTATTTGAAGGGGTGGATCCATTGAATTGGATTAATAGAGCGGAGCGATTTTTCGAGTTACAGGGAGTGATGGAGGAGAGAAGGTCAGGCTAGCCTATGTTAGCATGGAAGAAAGCGCTGACTACTGGTTTCGATTTTGGAGGGAAAAGGCAAGGAATCGCACCTGGGAAGGAGTGAAGGGAGCGATGATAGTAAGATTTGGGGAAAGGAATCGAGGATCGATTTTTGAGAGACTGGTGGCGAAACGTCAAACCGGCACGGTTGAGGAGTACCTCCAAGACTTCGAAATCTTGGTAGGGCAGACGAGCGGGTTGACGGATGAACAACTCCTGAGTTATTTTCTCGCAGGACTCCAGAACAGTGTGCGAAACCGCGTAAGCCCGCACGATCCGCAAGAGTTGCTGACGGCAATGTGAATCGCGAGAGATGTGGAGGACAGCTTGGGAGGGGCGAAGAACTGGGGTGGAGGCGTGAATCAAAAACCAGTATCGGGGGGACGAATGTCGGGGTTAGTAACTAATAACGGTTAATTTCACCGTTATTTGTGATTCAATTTTGTATACTAAATGAGCCCCTTTTTACTTAGAAACTTGCTTGAACTCTTGTATTTAGTTAAGTTGTGAATAAAGAGAGTTGAGGTTAGAACTTATGATTTTTATCACTACATTACTTTGATTTTGTAGGAAATTGGAATGATTTGGAAGAGGAGTTAAAGTACTAATTAGTTGGAATCTAGAAAGGACAGAGAAAGCACCAGAAAAGAAGGCTACAGAAGG